CTCCTTGGGCTGGGCAGGGCAATCTGATGTGGCTCCCTAAATGTCACGATCAGCTCCCGTGCACCATGCAAGCACAGACTTTTGTATCATTAGATAAAAAATATGAACACATGACTGGCTCTGAATATTTTCTGTGTTTAATACTTGAAATGACTGTGCATTCCAAAGTTCTCTGTGTTTTCAGTTAACAGAATGTTGGTTGTGAAAACATTTTTGATTAATTGCCATAATTATTGTGATCATTTTTGCCCAAATGAACAGCCAGATGGCAGGATATGGTGTCATATTTGCGATCCTATCATATTAATCTGGCTTTGGGTCCATCTGAGCACATTGTGCAGTTTGCTGTGTTCACAATCTGTCCTCAAGTTGTCCGTGTCTTTTTTGAGCTGCGAGTTTTCAGTTGATTATATTAGAGTATTAAATATTAAAGTTGAGGGTGTATGAAAGCAAGGCATTTATCTGCATGAATAACTTGTGCTTAGTGAAGTAAGTAATGCGCTTTAAGTAACATCTCCATCATGCATGCAAAAATGAACGTGAGTGTTTCCGTCTCATGGCTTTGTAGTCTAAGCCTCAAACCCACTTTGTGGGGCTTCATGGCTGCTTTTAAACCCACTTTTCATTATCTAATCTATGTGTTGTCCTTTGCATCTTGACCAGTGTGTGTACTGTTAATAGCCGCCTGCTTCTAAATGCAACATGGTGCAGTCGCAGCATGTCTGCATTATTATGAAACCTGTTAAGGCCATCGTTGAAGCTACTTGACGTCAGGGTGTTGAAAATGAAATAATGGGTCAGGTTGGAACTAATGACAGATTCCTGTTTAAAAGCAAGTCATAAACTTTATTCATTCTGTGATATCAATTAACCTGCAGACTTTTTTTTTTTTTTTTTTTGTCAAAAGGAGCAGCCTGAGTGCGATTGTTCGCTCTTTGCTCTGCAGTGTCCTTGGGCTCGGGGAGACTGTTTCCTGACAGGGAACAATGAAGAGAGAGGTGTTTACAGATCCTTATACAGATGGCTCCAGGGCTCCGAATTAGCTCCTCACCATTTCTCATGTGATTCAGTTCAGAATTAACTTCAGATGTGTCATCAAGACTATCATCGGGGTGGCTGACAGTATATCTGTTTGATCTCGACGTGCACTGCTCACTGAGCTAGTCAGATATCACTGTCAAATACTAAACCTTGTGGCATGCGTGTCTCATTCTAATGATAGCTCACATCATGGAGACATTTATAAACACCATCCTGTTCCCAGCTTTGCAGGCACCAAAGAGCTTCACAACTTTGGAATTATATTTTGTACACAAAGTACTTTTTGACTGACATTTCACACCTACTTAGAACCGCAGATGAGCTCAGTTACTAAGTGTTTTTAAATGTGCAGACACAATTAATTGGGTACATGTGAGTGAAAACTGAACGGAGAAAGATTCAGTGACCTGCATTGTTAGCATGTGCTCTGCCTCTCCAACAGGCCTCCTTGTTTTCCCCTCTTTTTTTTTTTTTACATGGCATAAATCCAGGAGATGAAAATGTCATGGAGCAGGTTCATTTTGCAAAGAGGTTTTGATTGCCATGCGCATGTAATTGATTGTTCCAAGGACAGGGGGAAATCTAGAAATGTCATAACAGTCCTGCTTAGGTTGGTCCCACCGCTAGGCAATCAATGAGAAGTAAAAAGAGATATTGATTTGCAAGCAGCAAAAACTGCAGCTTGAGACAAGCGGAGAGTGCTGGGGAAAGTGGCACAGACATGCAGACCTGTCACTGGCACCTATGAATTACCCAATCTTCTCTGAAGATAGTGTTACCTCCGATACTCACAAAGTCCTGGGCTGGGTACTGCAGCTGTCCATTAGCTAAGCTCCTGAGGCCGCTAACTCTCTGTGGCTTGTCAGATTAATGAAGGAAGTGTTGACCTTCCAAAGGATACATGTTGATGTTCTCACCATTACAGAAGTTTCTACTGGCATGTTAATATTGGAAACAGAGTGCCCTTTTACAGCTGGCGCACACATTTCTAAAATGACTGACACATTTTGAATAGACTCACTCACACTAGGGAGTGGGGACTGTGCTCTGTGAACATACTAATGCTTAAAATTGAGTTGTAACTGTTGTCATGTAAGCCTTTAGCACCAATCCAGCTGGGCAGCATGCTGCCATGAACGTAGCAGTGAATGTAATCTATGGTTTCCTATGCAGTTAGCTGGTTTCTCTAGATGTTGGGGTAAAGCCTTTTGGCTCAGAAACAAGCTGCTGCTTCTGTAAATCCAGGCTTTGCTATGCCAAGAGTCTGTTCTAATGGATAAAGGTTATAAACACTTCAACGGCCTGATTTATGATGGACACCCCAGGTTTTTTGACCTTTGCATATCTCTGACTGAAGATATAAATTTGTAGTGACACAGATTGGAGGCTTTACAGCAGTTTATGACATGCTAAATCTCAGGCAAGGCACGACAGCCTCTTGTTTTCTAAGGCTAGTGAGGCTGGCAGTTGCCTTGCTGGGACTCTGAGGCAACATTTAAAACAGGCATTTCCTGTTTTTTTCTAAGTTGTGAAAAATGTGCACAAGAATGAGCAATCGCTGCTCTTCACACATGCTCTTAGACTTTCAACGATGCTGTTTCGCGAGGAAAATTGGCAGTTTGTTCTTCGTTCTTGACAAACTTGTTTGTTGTAATAGTGTTTTGTAGGTGTAGCCTGTTGGTGTGGCGCTGTTCTTGAATCTGATCCTGTATTAAAGAGTAATGCAGCTTGGCATGGCAGCAGTACTGTGGCAGGGCTGGCAAAGCACAGCTTGCAAACGGTGTGAGAAGCACAGTCAGACATGCACATTTCCTCAAGTGATCCCTGCCAGAAGGTTAATTGGTGCCTCTGGATGTCGGCTACTTAGGGCATCTGATAGAAAGGCATAGAACAGCAGGGAGGGCAGCTGTTAATCTCTGTCAAACCCATCCTCAAATACCAAGATAACACAAGCATTCACATTAAAATTGATCCAAATACATGTAAGAGGTTATTTCCAGAAAAACAGCGCTAACAGTGTGAAGATCCATATTTATTTTACTAACAGTGTAGGTGAAACTGGATGGCATGTTTTGGCAAATTTTAAGGTATATAATGTAAGTAGGAAATAGCCTTTACGTGACGGTGTGTAGTAAGAATGAGTCATTTGTATTTAACCACCACTGGACTGGAAAAATTGCTCATCTCCCCACTTTGGTGCTCGTTCGTACCGGCCCTTCAGTTTTTTGTGATGACTTTGAAAAGAGACGGCATCAACTGGGAGCTTGTCATAGCCACTGGTCTTCTCCCTCACTGTGAATACTATATAGAAGAGTATAAATAAAACATACCTCTGTGCTCTTGACAACTCTTTCTCCCAGCATTAGGGATGTTTTGGAGGCCATCACTGATCTCGGTAGGCCAATCAAAACATCTCTCTTGCGGTGGATCAAGGTCAGTGCACACTGGGACTCGTGTGTGTGTGTGTGTGTGTGTGTGTATGTGCGAGCTCTTGTTCACCAGGCCCCTTTTTCCATGTTTGTTTTGAAAGTCCGAATCCCATCTCCATCTCCATCCATTAGCCAGCAAGCAATTCACCTCCAGGGTTTCTCTTGAGGCACTTGTGAAATATTGATAAAAAAAAGTCTTATTTTCAGAAGGCAAAGAAGGGAAGACATTCTCCAGGCTGCCCAGTGTGGGACTCCTGAGTGCTCAGCTTCAACCATCCCCTCATGGAGTGCCCTCTATTCAGAAAGGAAATATTAGCCACATGAAATGCATAAGTGCCTGGACAGGGCTGTTATGTCCTATTCATATTTAACACAGAGCACATCTGCCACATCTCTCCCAAAATGCACATTTTCCAGCTTGACTGTGAGGTGGAAACTCTCCCCAATATGTGACAACACTGACAAACTGCGTTTATTGCAGGATGTTTTGCAGAGATATGCAAACACTGGTGGTGATATTGTTGACGCGGGTTATTGGGACATCAGATTTAAAGTAATGTGTAATGGTTATTGTCAGAAAGGACATTGTATTCTTCTGTAGCTGTGCTCATGTGGAGCAGGACATGAAAACTCCTCTATGCTGAGTCAGAGGATCCACTAATTGGATGATGGCAAATGTGTCAATTAGATACTGTTGTTTAATTATCTGTTAATTGACGCAATAATGTTTGTGCTCTATGAGTTGAGAGAATGAACAGGTGAATAATGAAAGAAGTAATTGCTGTTTATGAGACTGTCAGGGAAAATATAATGATGTGACAGATTGCCAGCAATCTTTTGAAATTTCGTATAATTGTCTAGTTTTAACACTGATAATTGAATCAGCTTTTCCACCAGCATGATCAACATCTTGGGCATTCATTCATTTACAGCATATTTTTTTATTTTGCTGTCAACAAAGTCAGTTTCCTGATGTTGAATGGCTGACTACTGGAACTTTGTGATAGCGACATTAACTTGTGAAGTAATGTCTTCACATCATTTCAGGTCATGTAAGACATTAGAATAACTGAGTTTGTGTTAAGCTGTTATCCACAACAGAAGGGATACATTTCCATTGCAGTTTTGAGGCATCCGTAATCACCATGAAATTGGTCATTTGCAATAACACCTAACAGGCCCCAGAAGAATCAATTTCCTTTTGTCACTCAGTGGCCAATGATTGTTGTAAACATCTCAACTTGAGGCCAGAAAAACCTTGAACACAGCACTAAGTCAATGGCCTGTCGTGAATCACATGGTGGTGTTACACCAGCAGCGGTCTGTTAGTAAAGACATTATGTCCAGCTATACTCTCCAACCTCCCAAGGCACAAAGCAGCTGCCATTATGTTGTCTGAAATTGCTTCTGTGACTTCTCATTTAAAAAAAAATGTGTATGTGGGTTGTCAAAATATCGTACCTTTGAAATTACATTAGAAATCCATTCAAATGTTAATGTCGTTAATTTCCCCTTCTCTTCTTTTTTTAGTGTACATGCCTGATGAAGATGCTGTTCTTCAGGATTCTGTCGCCGAGGAGGACGCAGAGAACGACACTCAGACTGAGGAGGACTGCTCAGAGAAGACCAGTCCCAAAGTGTCTGAGGACAGGGAGCTAGACAACAAGAGCACTAACACTTACAGCAACCAGAACTCTCCCATTAGTATCCTTTCCAATCAGGAGGCAGAGTTGGAGTCGCGCCTTAGCGACAGCAGTGACAGGCTCTCAGACTTCAAAACCTCCTCGCCACCTGAGAGCCAAAGGGAGGAGGGAAGTCGCAGCTCCAGACATAAAGAAGAGACAGGCAGCAGCTTGGACAAAATGAGGGCAGCCTATGCAAACTTTCTCTCTGATTCATACTGGACGGGGATAGGGATGGACTTGAAAATGGGCAAAAACACCAGCAAAGCCAACTGTGACAGCACCAATGGAAGCACCAAGAGTGAGTTCGACTGGCACCAGGATGCGCTCTCCAAGACCTTGCAGCAGACACTCTCCCCAAAGCCTGCGTCCAAACCCAACCTCTTCAGCTCCGTCCACCTGTACAGGCAAACCACCAAACCCTGTGGCTCCGTGTTCACAGGAGCCAGCCGATTTCGCTGTAAGGACTGTAGCGCTGCATATGACACTCTTGTGGAGCTCACTGTCCACATGAACAAGAGTGGACACTACCAGGACAACAACCACAGCAAACAGAGTAATTCTTCTGCCTCCTCCGCTCTATGGCCCTGTGTTTACTGGTGCCAGCAAGTTCAGGTGCAAGGACTGTAGTGCAGCCTATGACACTTTGGTTGGCCTGACAGTGCATATGAATGAGACTGGCCACTATCGAGATGACAATAAGGATACTGAAGATGATCGAAGCAAGAAGTGGTCCAAGCCACGCAAGCGTTCACTGCTGGAGATGGAAGGGAAGGAAGATGCCCAGAAAGTTTTGAAATGCATGTACTGTGGCCACTCTTTTGACTCGCTCCAGGATTTGAGCGTCCATATGATTAAAACTAAGCATTACCAAAAAGTGCCTTTGAAAGAGCCGATCCCAGTAATCACACCCAAACTGTTACCACCAGCAAAGAAGCGGGCCTTCGAAACGGTAAGACCTTGTTCCCCTGACTCTACAACTGGTGTATCTGGCTACACTGAGGCACAACGGGCCGCATCAATTTCAAATGCAAATAATAACCGATATGGCTATCAGAATGGAGCTAGTTACACTTGGCAGTTTGAGACGTGCAAATCTCAGATTCTTAAATGCATGGAGTGTGGAAGCTCCCATGACACCCTTCAGCAACTCACCACACATATGATGGTTACTGGACACTTCATCAAAGTCACAAACTCAGCCTCCAAAAAAGGTAAACAGTTAGCACTTGACCCCCTGGCCATAGAGAAGATCCAAGGTTTAGCTGAGCCTGCTGCCAGCGACACCGAGGGAGAAAAGGTGACTCCAAAAAATTCTTCCCCCGGTAGCAGTGAGAAAGAAGGCCAGGGGGAAGGCACATCAGAGAAAATGGAAGAAACTGAAGCTAAAGAAGACAAGCAAGACAGTGAGGATCAAAAGGCAGGCAATGGGGCTTTTAAGTACCCTTATCTCCGCGAGGAGGATCTTGAACAGGACTCGGGTGGAGGAGGGGACATTCTTAAGTCTTTAGCCAACACAGTGGCCTCTGCCATCAATAAAGCTCAAACAGGGACACCGAGCTGGAGCGCCTACCCGAGCATTCACGCTGCCTATCAACTCTCCGGCATCATCAAAAGCGCCCCTCTCTCTGCATCTCCACCTGCACAGCTAAAGCAGACATTTAACCACAAACTGAGACCGATTGCGCCAAAGGCGAAGTTTTACCACAGTGCTGTGGGAGTTGAAGCTTCCCAGGGACAGCATCAAAATGTGGACATCAAAAAAGAGAAGGCCGGCGTTAGCGATGGTAAAGAAATTCAGAATATTAGGTTTGATCTGGTGGAGAATGATGACAGCGATTGTCAGGATGATTCCTCTTCCTCTTCAAAGCTTGATGCTGACTGTGTGAATGAGGGGAGTGAAGCGATCAAAGGGAAGTTGAGCCCACATTTCTCTGACAGAGGCAAGACGCCGAGCCCCTCTGCCAGCAACGGACGCAGCGCTGCTTCAGAGCCTCTCACTGACATTCCAGATGTACTTGGCATAAACCCTCTCAGTGCGCTGCAGTCCGTTCTGAACAATCACCTGGGCAAAGCAAACAAGCCCAGTAACTCAAAGGTAGATAAACTCTCTGCTCGTGCCCAATCTGTTTTTGCTGATATCAACCGTAGCAGTGAGAAACCTGCTTTGATGCTTGGAAATCCTGTAAAAAATAGACCTGATAATACCTTTCTTTTTGTTAGTGATGACCAACCGATAGACCTGACGAAATCTAAACACAGCAAGCCAAGTCCGTCACTACTACAGCCGTCCACCCCGATGCCACAGAAATATGCTCTGTCTGACATAGCCGACATGGTTAAAGTTCTTCCAAAAGCCACGACACCAAAACCCTCCATACCATCGCGAATCCCGACTATGAAACTGGAATCGGACGTCAGGCGCTTTGAGGACGTGTCCGCCGAGGTGTACTCGGTCCACAAGCGTAAAGGTAGACAGTCAAACTGGAACCCTCGCCATCTTCTCATCCTCCAAGCTCAGTTTGCCTCCAGCCTCTTCCAGACCTCTGAGGGAAAGTACTTGCTCTCAGACCTCGGCCCTCAGGAACGGATGCACATCTCCAAGTTCACTGGATTGTCCATGACCACCATAAGCCATTGGTTAGCAAATGTAAAATACCAACTTCGGAAAACCGGAGGGACCAAGTTTCTGAAGAACATGGACACGGGTCACCCCGTCTTCTACTGCAATGACTGCGCTTCCCAGTTTAGGTCACCGACCGCATTCATTTCCCATCTGGAGTCCCATCTCGGGTTCCAAATCAAAGACATGTGCAAAATGCCGCTAGAGCACCAGACGAAGGTAGAGGAGCCGGAACTGTCGAAGGTCCTCAGTGTCAGAGCCACAGAAGCTCTAGTCACAGAAGAGGACATTGACTCAAAGTTCAAATGTAAGCTCTGCTGTCGGACATTTGCCAGTAATCACGCAGTCAAACTCCACTTGAGTAAAACTCACAGCAAATCACCTGACAACCATTCACAATATGTAGAAATGGACAAGGAGTAGTTCTTCACATTGCCGCTTCTTTCCTTTTCTTCCTTTTTTATTTTAATACAAGGGTCAGCTATTTCAACCATTTTTATTGTGTAGTGTGCATCATTTAAAACATTTCGTGGAGTACAGCGAAGACACACTGGTTAGAAACTGTATAAGGAAACACTAAGAGATACTTTTGCACCCTGCTCCAATGCATCACCAGTAATGAAATGTATTACTGCTTGAAGAAACATAATTGCTGATGTTTGCATGCAATAGCCCAGGCTATGACTACTATTTATTTGTATGATACGTCAAGTTTCAATTGTATTTCAAAGACAAAATAAAGAAGTAATTGTACTTTACAACTTCTGTGATACTGTACACCTGCATAAATAAATGTGCAGCTGTTAAAACAGGCAGCCGACACACGCGAACACACATGCAGACCTGTACAGTGCATTGCTATGTAAAGATGTTTTGTGCTGCAATGATAGAAGAGAAAAAAAAGCACTTTAATAAATGTTTAATCACCGGTTCAGACTCGGATTCTGTACATGACTCAAAAATAATTAGGCTGTTTGGAAACAAGGATATTTCACATGTAAATATATTTTAGAAGAAAAAAAACTGTTTCATGCAGCAAAGATAAAGACAAGACAGATGAGACCTGTGACACATGCACCTTTTTTACTTACTTCAAATAAAGAGTTAACATTTGATAACAGCTTGTGCTCGTTTTTCCCAAGTTGTCTCTGTAATTGTTTGCTTGCAAAGTTAGCAGCTTGTTTTAATATTAGTAAGATACTTAGTTATTACTGCGATCAGTATACACACTGACCAGCTGATGAAATTACTGACTATAAATGCAAGACTATAACACATTTTCATGTCATAGAAATAATGGTAATGTTTTTTAAATGATTCGGTAATTTCCATGGAAGTAATTAGGTACTAATTATAGGGAAAATAGAAATCTGGTTCACTTGGTACACTTTCTAATTACATACATTATAATAATAATAAAAGAAAAATCCAACAAAACCCAGAGCCTTTCAGTCAGCTCAACGTGCAGCGATGTCTACAGGCAAACCTACAACTCAACATATAAGGAGAATAAAGTTTCCACTAATAAATTAATATTTACTTATGTTAAACCTGAACCTTACTTTCAAGGACATTCCAGTTTCCCCTGTGACTAGTCCTCCCCGGGAATTTATCAGGAGAATATTCAGACCCATAAAATAAAATGTTACCTTGTATCTCATATTTAAATTCAGTATATGTTCTTGATCTATTTTAAGCTTTCAAATCCATGGAGAACCTGTAAGACACAAAGGACAGCGTCCTCATACCGTACAGCACTCTGCATTCTCTTTTACCTTATGACTTTTAGATACTCTTCAATGATATATCTTCTTGTCAGACTTTATTGCTTTCCTGTGAACGCCGCTGCTGTTGCTGCAAGATGGTATCATAACAATTAAACATATTTCCTCCAGCTCTATTATTTCAAGGCTATTAAAAATAATTGCCTTCTAAATTCATAAACATTTTATGCAATTCATCTCTTTTCAAGCAATCAAGTCCTCAATTACCTCCACCCATCAAATCTCTATTTTATCACGGGCAACTGACATTTGATGGTAAATGGGAAAAAGCACATGAGCACTGTGGTGATTTGAATGCTGTGACACCAACTTGCCCCCTATTGTTGGGAATGAGCAGGCAATCACGTTGTTCATCAGATGACTCCTAATGCAGTTAAAGTATTCAGCTATAATTTCTCCCTGCATTTATAATTACTGTCAAAGACCACACACCTCAGTGAGCAGATTAAAGCTATAAATTATTTAGTGCCTTTCTTCAGCGACGGGTCTTTGATTTGTCTGTTGGGCCATTATGTTTTAGAGGAGCAACTTACTCTAAATTGAGCCAAGCGTTGTTCTTAAGCTGCAGCAGAACAGAGATGAGAATCCTCCTGGCTGTTTGTTTTTACACTGAGACTTTTTTACTAACAACAAGGGACATTGCAACACAGAATTTATCAGTTTTTATTGAAAATGTATTTTATTTTTACTCCGTGTTTTCAACTGCAATTCCCTGCAATGTAGATCCAAATCGTTATTCAGTGGCTGCGAGTGCGTTGAGGATTCAGCACAGCCCAGTAGAGGTTCACCCAAGGCCAACCAAAGAAAAATGCTCTCATCAGTGCAGTCGCAACAGGAAATTAGTTGTCTTTTGCCATAATTTGCTCTAATACGTCAAAGTCGGTGTCGTATTTATTGGTGGTACACAGGATGTTGTATAGCTGTGATCTAAATAAAACAAACTTCCCATCATGCAACCACCGTTTGAAGGCACAGGAAGTGTAGTGGGTGGAAATCCACATCGGCTGCTCCCGTTTTTCACATAAACATAACGTTCTAATATGAGTACATGTAAATACTACAGGTATTACTTCAGGTAACGCATCCCGTATAATTAAATGAAACAGACCTATAATTCATTTGATGCTTTATATTATTTCATCTGCATATTAGCACAGTTAATCGAACCATATATCCAACATGTCATGGCTAATTACAGAACGCAGTCAGTTTTGTGCTGTCACACACAGATAGATGTACAGACAACCTTGGGTTTTAACTGGTTATGAAAGACATTAAGAAAACTCAAATGCATATATGAGGAGACAATTTCAATAAAAAAAAAAAAAAAAAAACACACTGCAGTACCTTACATTAGAGCACTGGGAACATTACACAGCGATAAAGCTCGGCTGCATGCATGGCTCTCCTTAATAATAAAGTAAAATTAAGAAGATAAACTGCAGCTAGAATAGATGTTGTCAAAGAAATGACTCTAAATGTAGAGAAGTCGATCCAACTCAACAGCCCCCACATATATAATGTAATATTTTCACCCCTGGTGTCAGTGATTTGACCAAAGTCTAGATCTAAAACTGTTTTGAAATGAACGAAAGCTTCAGAAATGTCCACTGTCTGACATAAAACATCAGAAGTGTTTACATTCTCCCCAGCTCGGAGTTACTTTCTAAAACAGTTCTAATAGCTTAGTTGAAAAATCAGATTATGCACAAAAGTACACTTATGCATTGCAGACTCAGTGAAACCCAACCTTAGCGAAATTAACGCCAGCTCGCATTTGCAAATCCTTTGTCAATCTGTCATTAAACATGTTATCAAATAATGATAAGTGTACACTCCTTGCTTGCACTGGCGTGCATCTGCCTGATGCTGATGTGCTGTAATAGGGCAAATGTGCATCAGAATTTGCCTGCTTGGATACACACAAAACATTTACTTTGCTTTGCTCTGTGCCAGACAAGCATGGATTCTCTGCATCATCTGGCCTGTAAACAGGATGAGGAGGGAAGGAGCGCTCAAAATGTTCATCACACAGCAGCAGGGTAATGAGAAGCTCATGTGTTTAATGAAGGGCTTTAAAACTTATAGCTACAATGACCCACATCCTGACTCTGTTTTCTGCCATTTATTCACACCAAAGTCCTCAGGTTATTATGTCCCTCTGAGAAATACCCCAGAAAGGGCGTTGCATCTCTCCAGTGCTCCTCACAGAGACAGCAGACCCTGTCATTGTCCTTTTACCTGCACTGTACAACTGCAGATATCCTGACACCATATTGGTTTTAAATGTGGAAGAGCAAATCCTTGGAGTAGAGAAGTAGTTCAGTCCCTCCGATTTGTTGGTAAATAATATGCTCTAAAATCTGTTCTATAATGAATTCTGCCTCCTGAGATCATGAGCTCTACGAGACAAAGAGGAATGCATGTATGTCTGCTCCCTGACATACATCACGTCTTCCAAATAGCCCATAGTCCTCTGCTGTTAATGGTGTTGCTTCAGATATGCTAATTAAGCAAAAATAAGTGATGAATGGAATACATTTGATCAATCAAGTAGGCCTAAGCCCCTGGTGCTGCATATTCATTGTACATCATGAATATGAAACCAAAGTCATTTATCAAATATCAGTTGCACATTTGTATCTTATTAATCATACATGCTGAAACTTCTGTCTTGTCAAAAAAGCTGAAGGTTGATGAAGCACTTGCAAAAAGGATTAAACTCAGGGAACTCGCGTCCTTCACTTTTAATGCATGAGATATTTTCAAACTTCCAGAACCTTAAACAGTCGGTTGATCCTTGCTGCTGATAACGTAGAGACCATTCTAACCCTTTGGCTTTTTAATGATTTCTCCCTCTGCTTTTTTTTCTGTTTTAGATGTTCACTTAATGGAATGACTGTCTAATATTTACAGATACTCACTGCTGTCTTGCTTTAAAAAGGGTTACGGTCATAAACCATGAGGTTTTACCAGTGAGCCAGGTCTTATATGAGAAGCTGTCTTTCAAAATAAAGTGTAAAGAATTTTATATTTGATTTTTATTACACTTACAAATTTTGAAATATATACACTTTGCTGTTACATTTAGTAAATATTTTACAATACAAGTGTTTAGCAGATGTAAACAAACAGGGGACAACAACTTCATCCCAGTCTGTTGGCGCCTGTAAGTGTCACGAGTACGAATGACAATATTACAGACAAACACAAATATGTCTTCTTTGGCGGTAATGGAGTCATTTCTGTATGGTAATAAACACTTAACAATGTCACTCTAGCTGCATACAACTACATTACAGTGTGATAGAAACAATTTATTTAATGTCTGTAAACTGCTTATAAATGCTGAATAAGGGGCTTAAAGTAAAGTGTTACCAAACCAGGTACAAGACATGTCAGGGTGAAGCAACGTATTTGTTCATTAGTGCAGGAAATATTTAGCAGAAACATAAGAGAATAACTGATTCATAACAAAACAAGTGAACAAAAGATGAATAAACAAATTAAATCTGCTTCCTTTTTTAAGCTTTTATATGAATAAACCTCTGTGTAACAGTAAGTGGAGGTTTCCATTTGCCATCATTGAGCAGATGAGAGAACTAACACTTGATTGCCAGCAGTTCATCAGTGCATCCTTCATATGTGTCACCCAGCCTGCCTCACGGCAGCATGCTAGCTCGAATTGAAGCTGACACCTTCCAAATATGAAAGCAACAAATCACACATTTTTATTGGGCTTAATCTCCAGCCCGGCCCCTTGCAGACGTCAGCACAATCATAGACGCTGCTCTAATTCTTGCCGACTGGCTGCTTGTGCCTCCCAAGCATCTCTGGACTTGCAGAGCAAACCAAACGGCCAGACGCCAGAGAGAGGGGTGACACCCAGCTTAGTGGGGGGCTTTAATATGTACAGGTGCAGCTAATGTAACAGGAGTGTACCTGGAGCAGTGAGCTGAAAAGAGATTGTAGCTGAAAAAAAATGGATCTCATGATTAATCAGTTATGTGATGTATATTCACAGCTGATATTTCTAATATGTTGCTTCTGAACACTGAGCAGACATTTGTATGGGACAGTGAGCATAACGCCACATAGAGGAGCAATAATACAGTTTATCTCAATGCAACTACATCTTCAACAAGAAAACAAGAAGATTGGGTTCTTCCATAGCTGGATGGTTACGACACAGCGCCCCATATGCACATGCACTGTGCACATGCAATGTCAGCTATTTGAGTCCAGTCACTGACATTTGTCACAGATCTCCCTCTGTCTTTGTCTCCTCTTCACAACCCACTTATGGAA